AGCAGAGGAACTGGGACTCAGGCCCCTGCTCCCCCAGGCCTGTTAGGGGTGAGTTGTTGTGTTCCCAGAGACTCATGGAGGAACAGAGACTTGCCTCCACATGAAGGAAAAGGGAGTGAGAGCTCCTTGCTCCTCCATCCACTTTTGTCCCAAAGGGCCAGGATCAGACACGTCAATCAAAAGATAATGGGTAGCCAACACTCGATTCCCTTCTCCCCCGCACATGCCCCAAGATCTCCCAGCCTGCCCCATGACCACACTCATTAATGCTCTGCAAGGAGAGGCTACGAGGCAATATGAGTGTATTTATGTTACTACTGCAGTGTACTCCGCAGTCAAGACCATCTGGTTACCCATTGCAGCAGGTTAACACACAATCTAGGTGCGACTGAAAGTCTACTGTGGAACTGGCAGACAAGGTTCCTTGGGTGAATCTGATATCTTTTATTAGACCAACCCAAATAGTTGGAAAATAGTTATTAGGCAAGCTTTTGGGTTCAAAAACCCTTCATCAGGCTAAGGAAGTTTCAGCAGTTGGTGTGTGCTCTTCCCGAATGGAATGAAAAGTAAAGAAGCCAGCGGCTGGGCTGGTATGCATACAAGACACGTAGTCAGTGAAAGTGTACACCCCTGCTACTGTGGAACTGGTAATTTTCCCTCAGCGGGAACTTTTCTGTGGCCAGTATATAATAGGGTGCAGACAGTCATACGTGTGCCATCTCTCTCTCTGTTCCAGGCCTCTTTCTCTATTCTGCAGCTGGTCAGAATGTCACAGTGATGTTCTCCTCAGGGGCAGGGGTAGAAGTGAGAGCCAGAGGAGGTTTCTTAAGCCTGACAGTCCTGCTGCCGGAAAAATTCATGAATCAGACCCGGGGCCTCTTGGGGGTAATGAACGACAACCCAGGGGACGAGTACACCTTCAGAAATGGGACAACCATGCCGCTTGATGCCAGTCCACAGCAGCTGTTTGCATTTGGAGCTGACTGTAAGTGGGGTTTTCAGTTCTGTTACTCCATTCTCATTTCTCTGAATAATCACTTCAGAAAAAAATCAAAGCCAATTATTATTTGTAGAGAGTGAACAATGAGCTCTTCTCTGAAGTGCCCGTCAGGCAGAGGCGTGTGCCTCCTCCCATGCTTGGAACGGGCAGTCACACAGGCAGACCTGTAACCAGCACCACAGGGCTTCTTCCATTGCATTTGTCCCTAGACAGGGCTCATTTCCTACCTCCTGGCATTCTGGGATGCTGAAGCGTTGGACACCCAACAAGAGAGCAGGAAATAATGAATGGCCACAGAAACGTAACAACTCCAGGGTTAGTCACCCCCTTTCCTCAGGATGCGAGCCATGATTCCATTCAAATACATCATACTTCTGACAGCGTTTTAGCAACTACAGGGTTGTGTTAGCTGAAGACTCACAGACTGCAAACACACCATTTGCATTAGGTAAAACAGTCAGAGGACAGCTTTCATTCGATGGAAATGCCCAGACAAACATCTCTAATGCACAAAGTCATTCTGGCCTAAATGCCAACAAGAGTAAATGATGCTTGGGGTGGAGGATGTGGGAGGTCAGGGGATAATGGCCTAAAACCTCCTCACTTTGCCACTTGTTGGGGCCTTTATCAAGCAAAGCTCAGCCAGACCCCTTCCTGCTACAACAAGCTTTCCATCTCTCAAGGCATTAAGACAGGTCACCCCAAGAAACTTAGAGCAAAGAGATAGCTCCAAGAAGGTTTTTGGTTTTGAATGTTTAATTCAGAGGTTTTCAACCTTTTTGGGTCAGTGTACCCCCAGGGGCCAGACACTGAGCAGGGAGGTGGGGGGAAGGGGTTGGCGTGCAGCTGAAGGCAGAGAGGTGGCAGCCGCCGTGTCCAGCCAGGCAGGCAGTGCCAGGACGGTGTGTGGCAGCACTCCGCCCCACCTGCCCGCCCGTACGCCATAGGGCCTTCTTTAGTACCCCTGGGGGTACGCGTACCCCCAGTTAACAATCCCTGGTTTAATTTGATAAACTCTAAGTTATTTCTTATCACTGTAATATCAAAAGTTACCTAATAAACTTTGCATTTCTCTCTGGAGAATAGTAGAAATGTTATTTGGCCTATTTATAATTAGGCTGAACCAAGCACTAATCTATGGGCTATGGCAACACAAATACTAAATAACAATAAATATCAAAAAGGGGAATAATCTTGTCAAAGAAGGAGATGAGTTAGATGCAGTCTAATATGTCTCATCATCTCTAGGTATTGGATATGAATGAATAGAAGATGGTGTTGTTCTGGACAGTCTGGGTGACAAAGACATCTGGGGGGTGGGAGGAGGGAAGGACACATGCTCACGTGACATATCTGATTGGTGCAACTCACAGTCAGACTGTCCAACAGGTAATTACTGAGCATACAGCGCTAGGACCAAGTATTGGGTTTCTCTTTAAAACTACAGGTAAGGAAAAAAAGCCCTCTCCACTGATTTTACCACACAACCGATTTTTTCCTAACATATATTGTGGATTAGTAGCAAGCCTGGAAAGTTTCAACTCCAAAAAAGGAATTTTTACAATGACAATAATATGTCAAAGGCCTTACAAGAAAGGGTCCCACATAACCTTAACTTCAACTACAGTACTGGTATTTAAATAGTATAAAATTTATAAAACACTTCCATTAACAGCCTTTCCCATGTGTATTTTACAGTGCCTCACGTTGAAACTTATGCAGAGAATGATTTTGGCTATAAGAGAAAGCACATTCTTAATTGTGCTGTGGATAAATTTACACATATAACACATGCGTTTCTGTTTCCTTAGGGGCTGTTGGCAATGAAACTTCTCTCTTCACTTATGACACTCAGTTCTTACTGAACACCTTCTTCTATGGGCCAAAGCACAACTCTTCCTTCCTACCAGTGTTTGTTCCTCATGAAGACCCTACAGACCCCCTGGTGCCAGAGATGGCCAGGCTTTGCGACTCAGACCCTTTCTGCAGGTTTGATGTATTGACAACCAGAAGCCTCGAGGTGGGAAACGCTACCAGAATCTCCCATCAGAACCACAAAGCGTTGGTGGAGAGTCTGCAGCCAGGTGAGGTAGCCCTGATCAGGGCAGCACCGGGACAGAGGACACAGCATCCATTATCACTGCAGCTCCCCGCCACCATTCAGGATGTAGGGACCCCTGAAGATCTGGAGCAGCTGCATGTGAATTCCCGAGGATGAGGGGGCGGAAGGAAAGAGTCTCACCAGGAGGAACTATCCTCTATTGCACCAAGGTGCTTTGTGCACTGTGGGACCAGAGCTAGAAGTCAAATGCCTACTTTTTAGGAACCTGGCCCTCAGGGTAGAGGTCCAGATCCAGTGCTAGGTGTCTGGACATGTTGGGAGTTACTGCCTCAGAAGGGCAACCCAGAAAAAAGAGACCAAGCAGAGAGCTGCTCTACAGGTCCCTCTCCATCCTAGACACTCAGGTTGCTAAGGCCAGTACGCTGCTTCACTCTGGTAGCTCTATTCGACTTAAAATCTCCTGCCCTTTTTCCAGTTATGTTTAAATCACCACACAACTCGCTGTGGGATCAGCTTGTCAGGCAGACTCTGACAGGCATTCATAACATAGCTCTCTTCCCTTAGTGGTCTCTTGCGGCTGGCTGGATCACCCTACCAAGGGCAGAAAGGAAGGGACAAACTACCTGATGGGCTCAACTATCCGGTTCAGCTGTGATCAAGGGTACAGCCTGGCTGGGTCAGAAGAAAGAACCTGCCAGTTGACGGGGGCCTGGTCAGGGAATGCAGCCAGCTGTTTGCCAAGCACAGGTATGTTTTCTAAAGGGTCCCCAGCTGTGGGTACAAACTGTTCATGCAGGCATGGCCATCTCAGGAAAAAGCAGTGCCAAAAAACCACAGCAAGAGAAGTAGTGGTTGACAGAAGCTAGAAAACTAGAAAGCAGATGTACTGCAAAGACATAATTCAGAAGAGCTGTCAATTATCTCTATTATCAAATGTGTCTAAATATATTATATATAATATAATATATTATATTATATTTAATATAATATAATATAATATAATATAATATGTGTATTTTAGACACATATTATATATGTGTCTAAAATATATTGCCAAGCGTATATGCTGTACATATGATCACCCTTGGGCCTGGTTCTTAACAAAGTGGCCTGTCACAAGAGCCTATGGCCCGAAGGAATTAACGTCAAATGCTTCCCGAATAAATGCTATAAAATATGGTTTTAAACTCATTCTTACCACATGAATAACCATAGTGGAAAATGCATTGTGCAATTTAAAACTTTTACAGAAGGTGGAATTAAGATTCAACCCACATTTAATCATCAGCATGGCTTAATTTTTAGTTCCTTATTTTGTTCCCTTAATAATCACGTAACAGGTTTTTTAAAATTAAATATACCATATGGATGCCTACACATCAGAGTTCTAGGTGCTTTTCAGAGACAAAGGAAGTACCTGCCTGTTTTGTTGTTACCCTGCTGCCTTATGCCCAATTTAGATTTCAAGCACAAGAAGTCATCACGCGTTTGGTCTGTAGAGTCATGCTGTATCATAGTATCATAGTAGGTAGGGCCGGAAGGGACCCAAACAGATCATCAGGTCTGACCCCCTGCCCTGGGCAGGAACAGGTGCTGGGATCATATTACCCCAGCCAAATATCTGTCCAGCCTCCTCTTGAAGGCCCCCAACGTAGGAGAGAGTACCACCTCCCTTGGGAGCCCAGTCCAGAGTCTGACAGCCCTACCTGTGAAGCAATGTCTCCTGATGTCCAGCCTGAACCGTCTCTCTAACAATTTGCGGCCGTTACTCCTAGTAATGCTGGGTAGTGCCTAGGGGAGCAGAGTTCCCCCAATTCCCGCTGGTCCCCCCTGGTGAGTTTGTAAACAGCCACCAGATCCCCTCTCAGCCTTCTCTTGTGGAGGCTGAAAAGGTTCGGGCCCTTTAGCCTCTCTTTGTAGGGCCTGCCCTGCTGCCCCTAAACCATGCGAGTGGCCCTCCTCTGGACCCTCTCCATGCTAGCCACATCGCTCCTGAAGTGCGGCGCCCAGAACTGGACGCAGTACTCCAAACTTGAGCCTGACCAGCGCTGCATAGAGGGGAAGGATCACCTCCCTGGACCTGCTTGTGATGCATCTGTGGATGCACGACAAGGTGCAGCTTGCCTTACTGACGGCTTCCTTGCATTGGCGGTTCATGTTCATCCTGGAGTCAACAATGACTCCAAGATCCCTTTCTGGCACCATGTTGACAAGACGGGTATTCCTCAGCCTATAGGGGTGTTGCTGGTTCCTTCTCCCTAGATGCAGCACCTTGCACTTGTCTGTGTTGAACTCCATCCTATTCTCATCCACCCATCTCTGCAACCTGTCTAGATCTAGCTGGATTCTGTCCCTCCCCTCCAGTGTGCCCACCTCATGCCACAACTGTAGTAACCATGCAACATAAAAATGCGGCAGCTTTGTATAACAAGCAGTCTGACTAGGCTTTTTTAACGTCACTTCAGCCACACTACAAATGCTTCAGGATAGGAGCAGCAGGTGAAATCCTGTTGTAAGAATCAGCGGTGGTTCTGCCTCTCTCTTTCCACATACCTAGACGCAGCCTCCTCCATCCTTCTGCATGTTTTCAGAATATTCTTAGCCTTAGTCTCTCCTGCCACTTGCAACAGCTTCCCTGCTTCTCTGAATCTCACTTGCTCTCCTTTTTCAAATCTACCTTAAAATATATTCACCCTCACTTGCTTGTGCCTCTTACAGCATGGCTACACTACACCCAGACTGATTTGAGAGTGCTGCTATAATCATACACCCCGCCCATGGTTCCTGTTCTGCCTAACCACATACTGGAAAAGCTACCGGAGCTACTGGTTGCATGAGGCTCATGCTCTCAGGCTTTCCATCTCAGGTTTGCTTGTGGGCCTGTGCCCAGCCACCCTCTAACAGCAGCAGCATCATATTCTCAGAGCATGAGCGTGTGGGTCTCCCTAGTGCAGCTGGAAGCAGTGTAGACATACCCTCAGTGTCCAAGCAGGACCGTGTAGGCAGCCCCTCTACCCATTCATGAGTGCACTGGGTATCAGCTCATCAAAATCACCAAGTCAATGACTGCCCGGTATTCATAGTGATTGTGCACCCCGTGTGCAGCTGCCCAGGTATTGTTTGCACATGGTCTCCACTTATGTTCGTGAGATTCTCTTCCTGTTTTGGGCCTGAGGAGGGAATGCTTTCACTTCTCCAGCCTACACCATCTTAACATCATTTATCTTTGTCACTTGCCCCATCCTATCTACGGTCTAGTGCTAAATTGTCTCATCCTTGTACACAAAAAGAAGCTGGAGGGAGTCAGAGTCACAGCTAGGACACGTGTCAAACTTCCACAGGGTGGCACTCTTCCAGAGCATCAGCACCACCCAGCAAAGCATTAGGTGTAAACATGTCATTTGAAAGCCTGAGCACATTTCTTTGCAAATATTCAGAAATTAAGTGACGGCAGCAAATTCTTGAAACCAAGTCTCCTCCCCTACCCAGAGAAGTTGTGGAATCTCCATCCTTGGAGGCTTTTAACACTCAGCTAAACAAAGCCTTGCCTGGGATGATATCATTGGGGATGGCCCTGCTTTGAGCAGGGGGTTGGACTTGATGTGACCTCCTGAGGTCCCTTCCAACCCTCATTTTCTGTAATTATATGAATTCACAAACATAAAAAGCACATAAGTTTATCATCGACTAGTTCCTAAACAGTGAACGGACCAGTCGTCATGGTCCTAATACAGCTGTCAACACCGACAAGTCCTGCCGCACACAAACCAGAGTATCAGCACAGGCCTCTTATGAGCAGAACAAAGTTTAACATCCACATGGAACACAAGTACTGGAAAGACACGAGCACCGTCTGACTACCTGGATTTCAGACTCTGAAAATGAACAGTGCCGGAACGTTTCCTTTGCAGGATTCACCCAGCAATAGTGACGTATCCATCAGCAGACACTTGCGTCTGCAAAACTGATACCAGCAATAACTCTACTGTTGCCTGTAGGGAGTGAAACTGGAAAGACTGGGCTATTTTAGCTTGTTATTATGGTGGCCTACTCTGGTCTGCCCAGATCTGAATAAAGGGCAACTTGTGGCCAAAAGCTTGTCTAACATCTCTCTCAACTATACAGTTAGTTGAATAAATTATATCACCAATAAAACCTTGCTTCTGGGCCATTATAGTAGCATGATAAACATTCTGAAATATAAGTGTTTCAGAAACATGAGATGTAACTAGGAATGGTGGCACATTTCTGTGTTCATAGGCGTAAAGGATCTTCCTTCAAAGCCCAGAATGGAATGAAGTCTTTACAAAGAAAAGCAAAAGCTTAAGCAAAGACTCAGCAGTGAAATGTTTTGCGAAATTGCAAAATAAGACAATTGTCTGTTCCTGCCATCAACCACATGCCTTTTGGACAAGAGCCAGTTAGTCTCAATAAGCAAACTGGATGTTAGCATTTATGCCAGAGAGAGGCAAAAAGCCAATGCTGGAAGATCAAAGGGAAAGCAAACTGGAAAACATTCAGAAATTCTCTCTGCTCAGTACGGTGGAACAGTGCCATTGTTTCATGGATAAGCAAATACAAAATGAATGCCTTTCAGTATATATTTTTTTGGGAAAAGAAGAATAAGGTGCAGAAAGTTTTTGGTTTGTTTGCCTTTTTCTATACAGCAACAACTTTCCTACTAATCAGAGCTCTGAATTTTATTTCATTTTTTATTCAAGTCAAAAATGGTCCTTTTCCATCCTCAGGGAAGTTGAGACTGACAGCACTGCTTACCCACAGGCAGCAGGATACTGTAGCCAAGGCAGCATAATGTACGAACTACATGCAAGCTTCCTCTCAAACTTCTCCAATGAATGCCCTCTGGTACTAATATTCCTGAGCACCCCTACATTTTATTCCAGTCTTTACCCCATGCAGTTCTGCTTTCACCTGTCCGTTCCAACCTGGACACCTTCTTTCTTCCTAGG